TTGTAAGAAGTTGCCAGCCTTTTGTTGCTGCTGCTTAGTTGAAGCACTGTAACTAGTTATGTGAGCTTTCCAAGCCATCTTCAGTGCAGATCTCCTGGATTAGGTTAAAGTGAAGATTTAACCTGGCTGGTTTTGCGAGAAGCACGGAGTGGAAGCACTCTCACAATTTATTATAGCATCTCAGCAGGGCAATACTGGGACTGAACTCCAGCTGAGAAGCAGTAAAGACGTGCCAAGGGTAGTAACTTCTTGAAGTTCTAATTAGACCTGCCTGAGCATGTCTACTTACAACTTTAATGTTAAAATTGAAGCAAAAAATTCCCAGCACTGGAGGTAGAAGATGAGTACAGATTCATTTCACTTCTGATCTCTGAATCTGTTGTGATTCGTTGGGATTAGAATATCAGGTAGGACACACAGTAAAGATGGGAATAGTACTGCCAAGGTCGCATGCAATACAGCTAGGTTTAAAATGAGTTTTCTCTGAGTAAGTAATCTCTTCTGACTCAGTTTTCAACCTTCTCTCCTTTCTGCAGCTGTCTCTACTGTAACATAAGAAATGGAATAAATAAATGTGTGGTTTTTAAAAGAATATTATTCTCTTTTCCTCTCTTTTACTTGAATACGCTTCGTTATGCTCTGCCTGTCTTCAGGGCTAAACCCAAGTGTCAACCACTGCTGGGCGGGGAGGGTGGTCCCTGATGCCACATCAGGTGTTTTCCTACTTGTTGTTGCTTCTATTACCATATGTGACATCTTTGCCCTGGCTTGGGCGTCTGAGTGTGCATTAAAGTTTTGTTTCCGTGGCTACTGTGTACTTTCTGGAGGTAACTTACCCAAGTCAGGATAAAAGAACATCTGGAAGGAAAGAATAGCATAGGCCTGCCACAGCTGTAAAATATCTACGGGCAATGAAGAAAAAGCCGAGGAGGAATAAAAGCTGCTTCTATCGCTACTGAGAGATCAGACTCTTAAGAAGAGTTCAGAAATGTAGAATAATTTTGCTAGTGACTAGAGGAAGGGATCTGAGGAAGAACAGTATGAACAATAAACACTGGCAGAGGAGACTTCCTGATAGCTCTGTAGGAAGAAAAGCCATTTTACTAAGCAATATGAGGAAAGCAATGTAATGCTGTAATAAACAGGCTGTATATAGCGGTGTCTTGTAAAGAAGGGTGATTGGCCTCCCTGTGCTTTCTCAGCTTACTGTTGTTCCTCCATAGCAAGGATGTCTGAGCAAGTTTAGAGTTCCAGCGATTCCAGGATTTGAAATCCCTCTGGAGTCCCTCGGTGACTTGCCCATTGACCTGTAGCAGTCAGAGGGAGAGAGCCTTCCCTTCTTCTCTAGATATATTTCTATACCATGGTACCATCTGGGTGACCAGAGCGGACAAGCCAAACTGAGCTTACTTTATGGTAGGGCAGTTCTTTTAAATTGTTATTTTTGGAGATAAATTAATGGTCGGACTGTTTTCTTTCGGAACATTTTTATTTATAGAGTTTCTTTGAGGGGCAGTCAGCTTCTTGGGATGTCGCTAAGAAGGATCAAAACAGAACAAAGAACCGCTATGGAAACATTATAGCATGTGAGTATCAGTGTGCTTGGTTTGAGCGGTAGCTGTAGTCATGTGTTACTCGTGCCGTGTTCTCTCTTTCTTTACAAGTCTCCGGTGGCATAGCTGCTTAATACCCCAGGCGGAGAAGGAGGACAGTGCCTTTTCCAGCATTTTTTTTTTTTTGTTCGTCACAGTTCAACTTCCTTCCTTTTATAACTCAGGCTGAATTTTGCATTTGCATCTCTGTTGTGCAAGCTGTGGTAAGCATATAACAGCGACAAGCTAGCACTCATTTGGATGTTAATTCTGTGGCAGTTTTCTACAGTTATAATTTATTTCAGGAAAATCTGACTTCAAAACTTTTCTGCTTTATGTGATTTAGACCTGATACACCTGAATAGCAGTTGTGTAAAACTGATGATTAAAAGACACGACTAAAATCAGAGGGTTCTGTCTCTTGTCTTTTGGCATAAGGTTTCAATAGTTTAGATTCATCCCCTGGGATAATGCAGTATGTTACTGTTTTACAAATGCGATCAAACATGCGGAATGAAGCTATTGGAGAAGTCCCTGAATGGGTAGCGTAACCTCTTCATCAAATCCAAAGTGCATTGCTAACCATTGCTAACTTACTTTTTTAATGTCTCAATTTGAACTTAAGCAGGCTGGGGTTGGAAGTAAGGAAACGGTAATCAGGATTTTTGGTTTTCTAGATTACCATCAGTGGAGCTGATTTTGAAAGGGATTTTGAGCAAGTAACCTGGTTTCTTTGTGTCTTTTTAACCCCGTGTAACGGTGTGGTACCTTTCAGCTACACATAATGAAGTTTAGTGAATGTTTTTGAAGTAATTGGAGACTTCAGACAAAATGGTTCTTTGTAATTCTGTGTAAATTTAAGGGTTGTGAATTGTGAGGTCCTTATGCCAGCTGATTTTGGTTTTCTAGACGACTTACCGTAATATCTTACTTAAAAATCACACTTCAAAAAGGCACTGTAACCACTTGGTTTTTACAGATGACCACTCCAGGGTGATTTTGCAACCTGTTGAAGATGATCCATCTTCAGATTACATTAATGCCAACTACATAGATGTGAGTGGATTGCACAGCTTTCTCCCTCTCAATTTGCCAGCTTCTCTATGTGAAACTATTGCATGTTATGCCTACAAATTTATTGAAAGCTTTCTTTTATTAAGAACAAAATGTACACTTTCCTTGTTCTATGTCCTAGTACTCACTGACATTGTTGTGCTTTCTTTCACATCTGACTTTGGTTTGGGCTGTAGATTTGGCTGTACAGGGATGTAAGTACCACTATATGTGAATAATGGCATCCTATTGTAAATATTTAACATAGATATTGTTATTAATTACTTTCCTATTCTGTTTTTACCACTAGATAACTGTGCATGCCTCATCTGATTTGTCTCATCTGTTCCTTTAAAAAATTTCCTTTTGTGTGAATATTTTTTGTACGTGTTTTGAAAAGATAATTTGGCCTTTTAACATAGCTCTGAATATTGTTAGATATTGTTAGGTAACTCAGGTGAACCTGTGTGTTAAAGAGAATTTGCTGTTCACTTTTTTTTTCTTTTATGATGATGATTTTGGCCACTAGTTTTTCTTTTCCCCTTCCCATTTATATGTGAGAAGTTGGATAGTATACTGTACTGTAGTCGTCTGAAAATGTACCTGTGAAGTAGTCGTAATATATGTTTGGCAAAAAGGGAGGGATGATGACCTTTGGCAGGGGGAGGGGAGGAGGTATGTTTTTAACAACGATTTAGACAAACAATATTTAGCTGACATGTGTCTTAAGGTGCTAATTTAGGTATTACAAAGTATATACACAAACATATATATATATATATATACAAAAAAAATATTTTAACATAGTAGAAATTTCCTCGCTTCTGCAGAAAACTTCTAAAGTTTGAAATTCCATGCTTTGATTAAAATACAAGAAATCTGAAAAATAACCTGATACAAACAGTAGATTTGAACAGATTCTGCCAGGTATTTTGATTAACAAAATATAAATTTTGTCCAGTTAACACCTCAGGAATAAACAAGTTGTATTCAAAGTAATTCCAAGTAATTCGAAAGGTGCTGGAATAGCTAATACAAGTGTTTTTAAAATACATGGCTTTGGTTACTTTTCTTTATAATTGCACCTTACTAATTTCTCCTGTGCACTGTCAGTTGATAAATTGTTTAAGACCCCCTCGACTTTCCAGAATGTAAAGATTTAGCTCGAGGTATATCACTGTCTCTTTATTTTGATATTTTTACACAGCAATCTCTGTGGAGTGTTAGGCCTGTGATATTTTGCCTGGGGCCTTAAACAAGAAAATTCTCCCAGATTGGTAGTAGTTCCAGTTCCTTGAGGACATTGTTTCTCTTGTTTAGGAGTAAATTGAATCTCATTATAACCAGACAGGAAAGCTGCAAGTTAAAACTGGCACTTTGCAATTTTAAAGTGACACTTTTACCTTCTTCTGGAAAGCATTACTGAGTGTAAAACAGTGTAGCATAGGTTCCACTTTCATAATTTGAAGCTGGGGCTTGATGTTAAGGACTCCAGGAGAAATTTTTTCGTCATTTGATGCAATCTTGGTCTCTTGTAAAGCCAAGAGTAAGACACTCAGAAGTTTTTTCATAAGCCCCAAAGGAAGGTGCTCTCACTCTAGACAGGATAATGAAGCAGTCTGTGCAAAAGGATATAAACTCCTTGGGTACACTGAAATCCTTCACTTTAGTAGCATCTTGTGAATACCAGGAATCCAAGGACTCGTGCTCCCCTGTAATGCAATACTTGAATCAAGTGGCCTAATAAAACTGCAACCTCGGAAATAATTGGAGTTATTTCTTTAACATTTGCACATTGTGAAATTCTGTATTGTCTTCTCCAGCAATACTAAAGTTTCCTTCCTCTTTGTAGCTAATGTTGCTGGCACTGGTCAAAATATATTCTGAATGATTTCCTCAAGAGCAGAATCTCTTTGTCTTGTAGTTTTTGTGCAGACAATTAATGCTGTACAGTACCACCAGCATTGGCATAGACCCAGCTAACGGGAAAGGCTTAGACGTGTAGGGTTATCTATCTACCTATATGTATGTATGTGTATATACTTGTGCATATCATGTCCAGTATAATTGATACGTACTTTGTGCAGTAGCACAAAATATTTTGCAGAAGATTCCACTGCAGTAGGGCCTTGATTCTGTGCGCACACCACAGTGTCCAGCTCTGTCCCCGTTAGTTATGGCTCAGGTACCTTACCTTACATTATGGCTCTTTGTGCCTTACCATAATTCTCTGTTTGGAAGAAGGCAAAAGGTGTGTATTTTTTCATACTGGATGATCTGGAAACACAGATCAACTTTTGAGATAATCTGGTGGCAAAGACAATTTTTACTAAATTTTGAATAAACACCCCGATGTATTTGGCTGGGGAGATAATGTCAATAGAGGACTAATTTTTAGGCCCAAGGGACCCATCTAGAATATTCCTTCCCATACACTACAATGTCTGTTCAAGTCAGATGTTCTTTCCATTGTATCTGTTGTCATTGAAACCTTTTAAGTATTAACCGTTTTTTTAGGTTTTGAACTTCATGCTGCTCTTAAATATTGGTTTGTTCTGAAAACATTGTCTAGAGATAAGACTTCTGTAGTACCCTTATGCTTTTGTTTTCCCCTCTCTGTTAGTAACATGGTACTCAAACCAACTTATATTGCTGTTTTAGGGATATCAGAGACCAAGTCACTACATTGCAACCCAAGGTAAGAATCAACCAGCATTAATCAAACCACACAAGTGTTCACTGTAGTGTCCAGCAGTGTTTCGGTAAAATGGAAGTGGATGAAAATAAAGCATATCCAATATTGTGAGTTGTCATCTTGTGTTACGGTAAATTAACATAGCATGTTCAGGTGGAATGCGAATAAATGCAAAAATTGCACTAATTTATCATGTTAATTAGATATTGAGCAACTCTTTCAGTGATAAATTCAGCTGATAAAGTCAGAAGCTACTACCATGATTTCCAATTATGAAGATGAATAGAGAAAAGAGGCATGTGGACAGAGAAGAGAACAGTTTCAACCTGCCTTGAGGCATTTTTCTTTCCATATTACAATGTATTATTTTACTGTCTAGGATTTATCCAGGATGGAGATGATGAATGTACTAATGATAAATTAAATGCTGTCTCAGAAAATCTGGGTAAAGTAAGGCCAGAGAAGGACAATGCCTCTTTGTAGGAAGAAGCGAGGGAAATCTTTATCATATAACACCCTGCTAATAAAAAGGGGAGTTAGAGGAAAAAATTGAATTTCTATGGAAATTATTCATTTTGTATTTCTGATAAAAATCCTCACAATGAGGAAAAACAAATAGATTAGTCTAAGATTGCACTGAAGTATCAGAGGCTATGAATTAAAGTAAAAATAATTAGATTTAGATGTGTCATTATTTGATTTGTGAGCATAATCAGATAGCTGTGCCCTCAGTTGATTGTAGCTGCACACAGGAAAGACAAACTAAAGGCTTGTTTTAAAGCCGGATTCTCAAATTTCTGTCCACATTTTTTTTATTTTTGCCTAAGTGCTGTCTAAACAGGTCTTTCTATGGCAGTTAAGTCTACATTTGTATTTTATTTCTGTTTTCCTATGTAAATCATTGCACATAATAATGTGTAAAGGACACAAAAATTTATTGCTACTGTAGTATGCAGCCTTTGATCTAGCATATGAAGGAATATGGCTGAGTCTTCAGATGTGTGTTATATGCAGTAATATTTATACTGCTGGTGGACTGTGGTCAGGGAGCTGTTTCTGAGATGATTGTAACAGGGTAAAAGCCTCTGTTGCTCAACTGAATGTGTCTTGTCTCTGCAGCAGAGCAGGAGGCAAAGCTTAAACAAGTGCTCCTCTTTGGCTTCCCAGAAAAGTAGTTAAGTTAGTTTAAATACCCTTCAGTGGGACGTTTATGCCTCAGCGCCTACTCATGCTTGTGCACTTTGCTGGGAGCTAGATGGTAAGTGCACAGGGTCTGTACCGCCAGCCCTCCTGAGTGATACTTCACTCTCGTGTGGGCAACTCCTCGGTAAACATCTGAAGAGACTCACGCTCAACACATTATACTTAACAAATGTAAAACAAACCTAGAAATGTAACTATAGGTGTAGTCACGCATTGCTGAGTCCTTGTAGTTTTCAAGCAACTTCTGGCGTTTCGCTGTGTGAAACACCTGCTATTAATGTCTTTTAAGTGGTAATTCAGTTAAACTGAGAAGATTCAGCATTGGTTAGAAATAACAATATAGTCTGGAAACTGGCATGATGGTATGATGATGTGGTTTCACGAAGCTTTCATCTTTGAGCAAGTGTGTTCATGTGTTTCAGCTCTGAAAAGCATTGGATTTTATTTTTAGCATTTGCTTTGACTGTTATTTTTTTTGCAGAGTATTACCTGGAATTTCTTCTTACAGGTCCAGTTCATGAGACTGTGTATGACTTTTGGAGAATGATATGGCAAGAGCAATCAGCTTGTGTTGTGATGGTCACAAATTTAGTGGAAGTTGGGAGAGTAAGTTTTTGTTTTGTTCTTCTTTTAACGCTACAAGCCTAAAGAAAAACCTGCTCACAAGAAAAACCTGCTAACAAGACACACTATCAGCAGAATGTAGAAGAGTCTTGTGAAGGACAACCCTGCATCCTAAGAGTAGGGGAGGGGGGAGAGTCCAGACATTGTCGTGGTTATGGTATTGTGTAAAACCAAAGCTAACTTCTGAAGAAGACTGATGCTGTGTTGCTTTCATGAGTAGCGAAGAACTGTCTGAAACCAGAATTCATATTTCAGCAAAATGGATTTGTATATTGTCACTCAAACGAGCAGAGTAAGTGGACTAGTGAGCAATTGTGCTTCTATATCAGTGGCTAGAAATCAGCAAATTATTTACAGTTTAGCAGTAACACATCCCTCAGGGAGTAATATAAAGTATCTGGGGTTACTTGCAACAGTTTGATTACTGATATGAAATGCATCCCAGTTTAACATAAGTGGAAATGTATTCCATAGCTCAGCACTAAAAAAATATAAATGCTCATTTAGCAATGAATTTGGCATCTAAGTACAGCTGTGTAAAGCAGTGGAAACTCCTTGTAGCTGGTGCTTAACTTGACAGAACAGCCATCAGCCATGACAAGCCACATGAGTACATGGTCATTTTGGAAATAAATGCGGTGTAATGCAGTACATGCAGTAACGTATCCTCAAGCTTTTATTTTCCTTTGGTGTACAATGCATTCCCATTTTTTTATTTAGGTCAAGTGCTACAAGTACTGGCCTGATGACACAGAAGTTTATGGTGACTTCAAAGTGACCTGTATAGAGATGGAGCCCCTTGCGGAGTATGTCGTCAGGACCTTCACTCTGGGAAGGGTGAGCACATTTTGAAGGAGCTTGGCAAATACTGTTCCCCAGTAGCAAGGAGTATGGAGGAGGCTATGCTTGGGCGTGTTGCTGTACAATACCAAATCCCTGTGTCTGGTTAACAGCTCCACAGTGTAGGCAGCCTTACCTCACTGTGGGAGTAATGCATTGCATTAGACTATTCAAACACGCCTCTCACTGTGGGATTTCAAATTTCCCCAGAAATGTTGACTGCTGTCCTCCCCTCTCTGACAGTCACCTCTTTGTAGCCACGCTTCTGAGCTGAGCGCAAGTACCAGGTTATGAGTCATGCCTGTCATTCATCTCCATTCACTGTGCCCTAAATGCCGCTGAGCCAATCTCACTTCATCAAAAACAAACTCTGTGAACGCGAGATGTGTGATACAGTTGTGGTCTTCTGGTAGATCATTATACTTGCCTGTAAATGTAGCAGGCCATTGTCTTAATTAGCAAAACTTCTGAAAATCTATGTGAATCGGATCTAATGAAGCAAAACTAGCGTACTTAATGGCAAAAGAAAAAAATTACGAACTTCAAAATGAAAAAGAAAGCAATGACATCTTTAAGCTTCGTATGGCCTTTGCTTTAAATAATTGGTTAAATAATGAAAACAGCATGTAGATTCTATCAGTGTGTGCTCTCAGTATTTGAGTCAGAGAATATCTAGTCTATGAAATACTTCATAACCTTTCTTTTTCTCCCTTCCTTTTGCAGAGGGGATACAATGAAATCCGTGAAGTTAAACAGTTCCATTTCACCGGCTGGCCAGATCATGGAGTTCCTTACAATGCCACGGGCCTGCTTTCCTTTATACGGAGAGTCAAATTATCTAACCCTCCTAGTGCAGGGCCTATTGTTGTCCATTGCAGGTGTGTACAGAAGAGGTAGATTGATTTTTTCCACAACTGTGTATGTGAGCATTTACAGTAGTCTCTTGTGAAGCATCCATCATTTTGAAGTGTTTTGTTTTTGTTGTTCCCTTTTTGAATTGCCTAATTCACACGGCAGCAGGATTTGGCTGTCTACAGCAATGTTTGGAAATAACCAGGTTCTAGTACACTTTTCTTAAATAGAATAGCCAGGGATTTTCTTTTTCCTGCAAGAGCTGCACCAGATGAATCATATGATGCTTCGGGCTATCATTTTAGGTAGCCTACAACAATTTGTGACAGTGTTCAAGAATAAGTGTAGATACAGCTGCTTTTGTAGCTTGGTGTTGCATATAATGTCTGAACAGATTATTAATTTAAATCAAAGTAAACAAGTAGATGAAGGAAGATGGAATGAGGTTAATGGCAACAAATACAGAATGTTGTTTTTCCTGTGCAAGCTTTGCAAGGTTTGTGCTGTGAGGACACAGTTTTTTGACAAATAGAATTTTCTTTCAGCACCGTCAAATGTTTAATTATATTCTGTAGATAGAGTTACTCAGCCTTTACAGAGTTTAAGAATTCACTGTGCAAAAACTGTCCATAACTTTACATAAAACAAAAACATAAAATAAATCAAGAGAGATTCTTCTGGATGCTGTTAAATGTGCTGCCTGAACCAGCTTAGAGTTTGGCTGGTAAAGCATACACCCGAGTTTCTTATTGTAATATATCACTTAAAAAGTATTCTTAGTCTTATTAAAGAAAAACAAGATCTGTCATATTTTGAAGTCCATAAGCTTAATTATCCTCCAGATTTCAGTTTAACTAACTTTTCTTTTTTACTTTAAGTATTGATCTGGGTGATAAAAGGAGGAAAACAGGGCTTTTTTTGCTGTTACTTAGTGGATCAAATCTGATGGAAAATGGTTGGTTTGGGCACATCAAAAGATTTAAAGGACATTATGAAGAGAAGGAGAGAAGATAAAAATTAGATAGTGGTTGTGATGAAAGAACTGAATGACTTTATAAAAATGCTCTCAGTAATGGGTTTATAAAGCTTGTAGGTGTTTTCATGGGGCTATTCCTAACAGCATTTACTGATTCTTTTTAGTGCTGGTGCTGGACGAACAGGTTGTTATATTGTGATCGATATCATGTTAGATATGGCAGAAAGAGAAGGTGTTGTGGATATCTACAACTGTGTCAAAGCCTTACGGTCCCGTCGCATCAACATGGTACAGACAGAGGTACGGCAGTTTACCTTCAAAGCACCTGGTGCTTTCTGAAACGTGCTAGGTCGGAATTTCACTGTCACTCTGCAAAGAGCAGCCAGTGACCGTGCTGTGGAGTTATCTCCATTGGGGAGCATTGCTCAATGCAAACAGCACCCAGAACCAGGACAGTGCAACAAACCTGCCAGCTCTTTCAGTCTTCACACAAACGAGTGCCCGCCTAGCTTTGTAAGAAAAGGAAAGCATTTTCAACTCTGTTTTTATTTGCTTTATTAATCTCATCACCAAGCCTTTTTCCTTTTCTACCCTTTTTGTCTTTCATCATGCCTTAAGCACCTCCACAGTAAAACCATTGCCTTAGTGATGAAGCTACAACAGCTCCCATTCTGCCACCCGAGTATCATTGAGCTTCCACAGAAACATAGGTTATTGATTTATATTAAGACAGGCTACCTGGCATGGTTTGCCACCTCTCTCTCTTGTCCTCCATGTGGACATCTACCTGAGAAGTTATTTCACCCGTAATGTGACCGCGTGCAAGTGCCAGGCATATCCACGTAATCAGGTGCACATTTTTATTCCATGCTGCAACCTGTGGCAGTTGAACAAATAAATATTCCCAGTCAACTACCCCTGCTATAGGGCCATTAACCTTTGGGAAGTGTGTGGACTGTTTCAGTGTGACTGCTTCAACCATCCCAGTTTAATCTGCTGTTGCATGTGAATTAACACCCCTACTGCGGTTCCTTTCTCTTTCTCTCCCTTTTGCCTCTTACCTCTCATCTTCTCTCAAAGGTTCATACTTACACAGCAAAACAAAGCTGCAATTTCAGGAAGTTCTTGTGATGGTCATGTAGACAACAGTGATGTCAATAGCTCCATAGCTATGTGGGTAAGGCAGCACAGGCTGTAGGGCCAGAATACGACCATGGTCCTTGGACATGTGCTCTTGTTACAGGCACATGTTAAATTTTGTGCTGTTAATAACCACATCGGTATCCACAATACCTACATGAGGCTGGCACAGTTGGCACACTTCACTGTATAGACATGATTTACATATAATACTCTTGCAGTAAGTAAATATAATAGGCGTTGTGTAAAAATTGACAGGAGGCCTAACTGAAATAGTAATGCAGTTTTCTAAGTCTCACGATATCTCAAGGCATGTCAGAAAAAAAAAAGGGGAAGAAATGCTGTTTCTGTTGGGACGCATTTGAGTTTATTACTGGCCTAGAGCCGGCTATCAGACAATTAGTATACTAGCTTGCACACACATAAGGAGAATGCAGTGTGCCAAATAATTGCTAATCACGCTAGTAGTGCTTGAAGCAATTTACGCTTTCGGCTAGTATTATAAGACTGAAAGCTATTTTTAAAAAAAACAAAACGAGTAAAGCCAACAAGTCACTGGGATATATGCAGAAACCCACAAGAATCACAAGAAAACTGAAAACCTCCCATTAAATAAATTGCTATGCCTGTTCTGTTAAGTTTTACTGAATTTAAATTGGTTCTGAAGAAAACATTCTTGTTAACTGCATCCCAATTAGGAGAAGATTGTGTTTGTACTAAAGCATTATTTAATGGATTGATGGACACTACCTTGAATGAGTTTTACAATGTGCAGGAGATCTGTTTATGCTGAAAGAAGGAAAGATGTGTTGTTTTTAAATGGCTATAATTTTTGTTTCTTTGCCTAATTTGGTAGGAGCAGTACATCTTTATTCATGATGCCATTCTAGAAGCTTGCCTGTGTGGAGAAACTGCCATTCCTGTCTGCGAATTCAAAGCTGCTTATTTTGATATGATTAGAATAGACTCTCAGACGAATTCTTCACATCTCAAAGATGAGTTTCAGGTATTCACAGTTCCTACTAACTCTTCATGTGACAATAATTTTTTTGCCTCTAGATACATTTATTTTAAGGGAAAGGGTTTTCATACCATGGTTATAGCATTTGGTTCCTTACTTTTAGTCCGCAAAAATAAAGCACCCATGTTTATGTGCTTCGCAAAGTTCTTTTAAATATGGAATATCTTCCTTTGAATAAAATTGCGGTAAATATCTGTCTGGAATAAAGAGCACTGACTAGGAACCACAGAGAGTTTTGGCTTGCATTTGCACAGCTAAGGCATAGCTCTTTAGGGCTCCAAAGGATCCTCTTTGTTTTATTCCTTTCAGAGGGGATGGTGTAATAAGAAATCTGTTCAGTGGTACACGGAGCGCCTTTTACACCTGCAGCTTAACCCCCCTTGAAAAGCCCCAGCACGTACATCAAACAGATAGGAGCTGTTATTTGCTAATGTCTTCTTGCTTGTGCCTCACATTTTCCCATATTACAATATTTTAAATTAAAACTTGGGGAATCTCGAGACCGTTGACTGTTAGTTCAGCGTGCTAAAGCGAACATCCTCTCTCCCTTAGACCCTGAATTCTGTGACCCCTCGCCTGCAAGCGGAGGACTGCAGTATAGCCTGCTTGCCAAGGAACCACGACAAGAACCGCTTCATGGATATGCTGCCACCTGACAGATGTCTGCCTTTCTTAATTACTATTGATGGGGAGAGCAGCAACTACATCAATGCTGCTCTTATGGATGTAAGAGACTATCTTCTTTGTCTGCATAGTGTGCCGTAAAAAGCTGTGTAATATGAGAGAGCGCACTTGCTGGTTTAAGAAAGGGTAATTCTTTCTTACTCTAGTGCCCAGTAAAACAGTCCTAATGAAGAAGGGTGGGGGGAATGGGTAAGAAACTCCACCAGCTTGTGTTGCTTGTTCATAAGGGGTTTTTATCATTAGTCCTATGCATCCTTGTGGGACCCACTGGAAATCTCCCCTGTTCAACAGCATTATATAAAGCTCTAATCTCCAGCCCTCCGAATCTCAAATCTCAGCAGGATCTCAAAAAACTGCTGTTTGTTGGGAAGTAAATATTACCTACCTGAGCATGAGGTTACTATTGCTGGTTTAGCAGAAAGGCTACGTATATTGAGGCAGGAGAGACACAGAGGGAGAAGAAAAAAAAATGTTTCTTTAGCAGGTTTGGGGATAGAGTTGGTTTTGTTGTTCATATTTTGAGTTGCAGCTCTTTAAAGACCCTTGAAGTTTGAGTGACAGATGTATTGTCAGGGGGAAAGGTGAATTAATGGGAAGAATGGAGGTGAACCTGCTTATAGGTGTCTGATCAATAAAGCAGTTCATCACATGTGCTGTCAGATACCTGCCTGTGCCTGCCATTAGTATTTCCAAAGTTAGGCCCCTAAAGTCTCCTTTACAGTAAATACTTAAATAAACGGCCTGATTTCCAGGAGCATCTCCCTTTCCTCAAAAATGAAGTGCTGTCAGAAACTGCAGTGTCAAGAAGAGATGCTGGAATAAAATGGGAAATAACAGCAGAAATCGTCAGGACTGAATGATATTCATCCAGGAGTTCTGCCTGAGCTTGTGCAGGAAACATTGAACTGCTAGCAAAATGCAGTCCCTAATCTCACAATTAGCTATTGTGCCAGAAAAATGGAGGAGTAACATGTGTGAGATCAATCTATTAGGGAGTCACTGGGGCTGAATGGATGAATTAAAGCAGTGAGCAGAATTTTGGTAGCAACAAAAATTGTTTAGAATTGCAGTTAAAATTACATTAAGCACCTGGATAAAATTGATGTGCTATGGACCAACCAACACAGCTGCATAGACAAGTGTGGCTTGGGGAGAAAGGAAGACAACGCAGGCTGAAATGGCTGGGTGGCTGGAGGACTCTGAGTGTGTAACAGTGTGTGGCAGGCAGGGACAGGAACCAAGCAATGTATTAATGGATGAGCAATCAGAGGCAAGTAAGGAAAGACAGAAATGGTAGTAATAAAAGGAAAAAAGCAGCAGGAAAAAGGTAATATATTACAATGAAGGCATATAACAAGGCTATAAGTACAGGGTTAAAACTTTGGGTAATAGAAGCTTTTTCTTGCCCTTTCTCTTCTGTTTTTTTCTTGTTTTGGTTTGTTTGGGGTTTTTTTTAAGACATTTGTTCGGGGCAGGGGGCACTACTGGGAAAGGAAAGGGGATTTTCAATAGCAAAACAGAAATGGAAACTTTCCCCTTTGCACAATGTACTTGTCCCTGTGTTCCCACAAGAAGGTGTCTGCTTCCCAGCGTGACAGCAGAACTCCTGCCTGTTCTTTTTGAAAACCTGATCATCTCAGACTCAGTACATTCTCTCATCTTGGGATAGACCAGAAATGATGGGGAAGAAGGCTAGGAAAACATCAGCTAGTACATGTTTTATTTCTTAAAAATACAAGGGAAGAATTGATATTGGCTGTTCCTCTTTGTTCCCTGGGCAGATCTAGGAAGTAGGAAACAAGCCGCTACTACCCCAATATGCTTTATGCACTAGAAAAGGATAGCAAACATAGACAAAAAAAATTGTCAGCCTCCTTATTCTGTTGTCAAACAAGTACTGATGATAAGTGCATTAATATGTTATCTTCACAATTTACAGCAAGTAGAAGGGTGAAAAGAATTTTATTTTTTCCTTCTGGGCCTCACTGTGTGCTCTTCGAGGATATGTCGCTATATTGCACGTGAAGATCCCTCATATCAATCTTTGAACAAGCAAGCTTCCATACCAAAAGTGGTTTAGTTACCCTACCAGGTCTTTCTCCTAGGTTAATTTACTCTACTTAATTAAGTAAAAAAACAGCCAAACTGCTTTTTGGTACTAGCATGGGTGCTAAACACGGGGATCTCTGCATTGCATACAGCAGTCCCAGCGCTTTAACTTCAAACTGGTGACTTACGATCCCATCCGCCTACAAGAATATTCACCATCTTACTCTGTTTCTCGGATTAACCTGTCAGTGCTTCCTTGCCAGTTCATATCTGTATTCCTTCACTGCAGAACTCTTCTGTGCATAGTTGCAAATTGCACGCAAAAAACTTCTGATCTCTCCTCTTCTGCTTGCTGCTCGTAATACATGTGCTGCAGGGGCTTAGCCCCTCTGCTATTAGTTGCATCTCAGCTAGCCTATGCAAGGCTGGAAATCCTTATTTGCAGTTGTGTATAACGCAGCATGCAGAAAATTGAATCTGCTTTCACGGCAGGAAATGGTATTTTGCTCTTTAACTTCTGCTTTCTGCTGGAAATGGGCCCCAGTAGTCATGAAGGTCAGTTCCATGGGTCACCCTGTGGCTGTGGCACCAAAACAGAATTTGGGATTGAGCTTAATCCTCGGTTCAGTCACAGAGCTCTCGGTTAACCTGCTGTGGATGGGGTGACCTTCTGAGACCTCTGCACCCCTCTCTGCAACACAGGGAGATGGTTTCATGCTCAGCCTCCTGGGCACAGTGCCTGGAGCAGAGTTGCCCGAGTCTCAGCTCAGCAGAGCCCTGAAGAGCATCTTCAGTGCCCCGTGCTTGTCTGAACTGAAACAGGGCTTGGCCTGCAACAAAGCAGAAGGCAGATCTGAGCAGAGTAACCTCTTTGTTCTTACTGGAGACGACAATGTATTTTTAACATCAGCTTTGGTAATATCTGGTGTAATTGATGTCGCAGCTTTGTTCTATTTATGTGTTTTTTCTGTTGCAGTGTTTGAGTGGAAGTTATGAAGTACTTCCTCTACCGGCGCTAATAAAATTGTTTGCCTTTACAGAGCTACAGGCAGCCAGCAGCTTTTATTGTCACACAACATCCTTTACCAAACACTGTGAAAGATTTCTGGAGATTAGTGTATGACTATGGCTGTACTTCTCTTGTGATGTTAAATGAAGTCGACTTAGCACAGGTTAGTCTGGGGCTCGAGTTTTCCGTGTACCATCGCATGCTTTAATCACTCTGGATCCACTACATGACCAAAATGTAGAGCAGTGCAGTGACTTCACAGTTATTCTCTGCTTTACAGCAACTAATTAACACTAGTTGCTCAGTAAAGGTTAGGTGAGATGCCTGCAGTGGAATAAGGCAATGCTCAAGTTGTGACTTACCATTTCATTATGCCCATTTTGCTCTGGCGCAGGGCTGCCCCCAATACTGGCCCGAGGAAGGCATACTGCGGTACGGTCCCATCCAAGTGGAATGCATGTCATGTTCAATGGACTGCGACGTCATAAACCGAATTTTCAGGATATGCAATCTAACGAGAGTAAGCATTATCGTAACAATATGTAACATAAAAATATGTCATTTTTAACACTCTCTAGGCTTTTGTAATTTTTATAGTAAAATACTAATGTTCTTAAGCCATTACCCAGAAAAAGAGTCAGTCAAGCATCGATATCTAATACTAATTTCTAGTACTTTTCTATAGCTGCATGCTAAGCAGAGAGAGCAGTAAGGTGAATGACTGTTGTTCTGTGACGTTCTCCCTGATGAGTGTAAGAGGTATAAGTAGTATTCTGTTCATTCAGTGTGCAGTGAAAGAAATATCCCTGTAATGAACATGTAGTGACAGGTATTTAATTCGTAGCTTGCGTAAGACATCTTCCGTGGTTAATCAGGAACAGGAGCGCTGAGGCTGGTTATGCAACCAGCACCTTCTCAGCCTAAGATGCGAGAACCGCAACATAAAAGGAGGATTGTGGCACCCTGCGAAGCGGGGTGTGAAAAAACTCTGAAAGCTCCTCTGCCTCTGAAGGGTTCTGCACCACTGTGCCTCAACCTATATTTATCATCTTTTTCTCAACTTCAGGAGCAGTATCAGTCTTGCATCCTTGTCAGCTTTTTCACACCTTGCACCATCTTGTCTTTTTGCCGTCCCGTAGTGTTTCGCGGTATCATGGCATCTTCTCAAACCCTGTTTGCCAGGCAGTGTCTCCTCCTTCAGCTCACCTCTATAAATCACTTATTTATGTTGCCCCCAGGTAAAGAGTTACAGATGCTTGTGCCACCTTTATATGTACAGTTAACCAGCAATCCCTATTTTTATTAACCATTGCTACTTTGTATCTTTCATCCGGTACTGAACTTACATGCCACCAACTGGTACTTCTAGTATACGTTTAACTTTCGTTAATGTTGAAGAATAGCTGTGGGGAAAACCGATTACCGTGTATGCAAAGATATATTCATCACATTTTCTTTTTTCAAAGTGCGGAGATCAGTTTGTGTGTGGCCACTATTTTATCCAAACCTTTACTTTGCTTATATTCAGAGCTAAGAAAAACATTTTCAGCTCTTCATATCTTGTTTGGAAACTACAGGAAGCTAAGGTGTAGGCACACTGGCAAATATTACGCCATAGCGCTTTTTTTGCTGTTTTTTGAGACTTCCTCTTTTTTTGGGTTCATTTCTTATTTTCACTTTTTCCATTTCTTCTTTTTTACAATATTTTAATTTTCTACTCCTCTACTTCTCGTTGTCTCCCATACCTTTTCGCTTTTACATATTGCTTCTAAATATATCTCTGCTCTGTTCTTCCTTTTCTGAAATCCACATTCCTACTCCTTTTTGTCGTCTTCAGCTCCAAGGAACTGAATAGACTACTTATTCTTCCAATTACTGAGGCCTTTCTTGTGACAGTCTAATTCTATTCAAAGCTCTCCCTGTGTAGCATCTAGCACATGGAAGGCTCAGAGACTGGCAGCAAGGCTCTCAGAATTATTGTAGTGTGGCAAAAAGGGAAGACTTCAAGGAAAATAGTCATATTTGTGCACCAATATTACTTCTTGTTTATTTATAATGGGGTCAGTTCATGCATGGGAGCCAAAGGTATGTCTGTTCATTTCTGTAGGTCTAAGAATTTAACAGTGATGTTTTTAATTGATTATTGATGTTAAGGATAAAAACCCTTGACAGGTAGAATCTAGGGAGTTTGTCTATTCAGAAGAAGTCAGGATAGGTTACATTAGTGATTGATAAACTGTGGATTGATAAACTGTGATGTTGTCTTCAATGTCGTTCCCTTTTTTTCCTTTTTTGACATCTTCCTTGTCCTCAAGTGATACAAATTAATGGAGACCCTACTATGCAATGTATATACATATTTGAATCTGTCCATAATATAAACACTTAGGTTTCATGTTAGTCCTATATTTTAGTTTTCTAAACCAAGATGTAAAGGTGCCATATTGACCTAAAGCTCTTTGGTTTCCCTCAGCCACAAGAGGGCTATCTGATGGTGCAGCAGTTCCAGTATTTGGGATGGGCTTCTCACAGAGATGTACCAGCTTCCAAGAGATCCTTCTTGAAGTTAATTCTCCAGGTTGAAAAATGGCAAGAGGAATGTGAAGAAGGGGAGGGCCGGACCATCATCCATTGCCTGTGAGTAATTGGGAGAAAGTCAGATTGCTGCCCTTCAAATAAATGCTTATAAATTAGTTCTTGTTTTGAGTTCAAGTGGTGTTCTTAGGGCTACATTCTTTTGCACGGACCCTTGTTTCTTTTATTTTAAAAAAAAAAAAAAAAAGTACCACTGATACTGTAGGTTGGCTTTTGGTCAGCTTTTGGATTTGTCTGTGTCAGGTCAAGGTACCATGGGAATGAGTATTTTGGACATGACACTGCAGTAATACTGTGTATTGTCTCCTTCTGTACATAATAGCATGTTTTTCAGGTACAAAATGTGTTCAGACCAATTTCTTCTCTACGGTTTCAGTAAGGAAGTCTTTTATGTTGAATGCCAAATGGTTGGGGTTTTGTGTCTCTCTTGCATATCGTGTGCTGCATTTTTTCCAGAAGGCCTACTATATTTTGAGGCTTTTAGACTGAAAGCTACTGATACATGAAATCGGAGAAAAGTTCTATAATACAGTATATGATCCTAAAACTGTTGTTGGTAAATGACTGCTGGCTGCTTATCTGAGCCTTTGAATATCAAATGGGAGCTGGTTTGGGAGTTTTGAAAAGGTGGAATCTTTTTCTCCTTAAGCAGAGAATGACCAATCTGTCTCCCACCTTATTTAAATACAAAGTTTAAAACTTAGAAATTTAATTATGCCTTTCTCCTTGGTTTTTAAAAAAGGCTTCTGTTTAAATGTTGCAGAATTAACTTGTGGCCCCTTTCTGCCCACCCCTCCTCATTATCTGTGGAACCTTCTGGCTAATTTGAACTTAATAAGAAGAAGTACCTACCTTATTTTCTTTGAAATGAAGATTAAAATAGTTCAGAAGTGTCCCTAAAGGTCCACAAGGTATCAAATCAGTGATGCCTGGGCATTACTCTGGGTAGATAATCCTCATACCATAGGATAATTTAAGTAAGTCTTTTCCCAGAACTAAGTGGAAAATGTTGTACTTGCTATTGAACTTGAGTTTTAATTTCTAATGTTGTATTTGCCATGGAACTTAGTTTTTTATTTCTAATGCCTGTGTAAATTGGGCTATAGCATAGCTGGGCAGCATGGCGGGCTGTAAGGGCAGAATTCAAAAGAAGTAATTGAGTCCTCTCAAAAGGTTAGAAACAGCAAATGTCTCAGACCAAACCCACTGGAGCTACAGGGAGATTGCTAAAGCCTGGTCTCCCTGTGGGACTCACGAATCACTCATGCTTACAGAGTGAAAGAACAGAAATGCGTTTTGGATGCTCTTTTATGCCGTGGTGACATTTAACCAGCTCTTTTCCTTGTGTACAGAAACGGCGGTGGCCGGAGCGGGATGTTCTGTGCCATCGGCATTGTGGTTGAGATGGTAAAAAGGCAGAACGTTGTGGATGTTTTCCACGCCGTGAAGACTTTGCGGAACAGTAAGCCCAACATGGTAGAAACTCCGGTAAGCAGCGGCCCGTCGGGGTTATTGCAAACAGCCGGGGAGCCAGAGGCTGTCTTGTTGTGTGAGCAGTGTTCTCAGTCCTGTGCCCACAAAACGAAGCAAACCTATGTTGGGCCACAAGAAGAAAGGGACGTGGGGTTTGGGTCTTGGGCTCCCCTTGTAGTGTAGACTGAGCAGAGGCTGGTCTGATTCTTGGCATGAGTGTAAGGCTGGGAAATGTCACATTCTGTGGTGGAAATTTCTTGAGTGTACACACAAGCCAGCATCACGAGAGGCCAGGCCGAGCATTTTACGCTACTTCTCTTGTAGTGGTACCATGCTTTTCACAGAAAACATTCTGAGTTAACAGCAGACACTTTAATCTCCCAAAATAACCTGGTCTATTTGAAGAGAAGTTGCAGCGGGTTGTGCTCACACAAACCATCTTGAAATTTTATGGAGCAAGGCATTTCTTCTTGGTACAGTCCAGTTAGTAGCTGGAGATGTGACTATTTTGCTTCTTAATAACTGCTGATTTGGATAATAATTGAATGTTGAATAATGATAATGTTTGTTACTCAGATATGTAGTAGTCAAAATGATACCTCACAACTTTAAAATCAAAGATTTGGATCTAGTATGTTGGAAATGACTATATAGAATCATTTAGGTTGGAAAAGACCCTTAAGATAATTGAGTCCAACAGTTAGCCTAAATAGTAAATGATATAAACACTAAACTAATATAAACAATATGACCCTGAATTAGCAAAACCACAAGACTAAATATTTGTATGTACATTGCCAGAACTCAAAATAACCTTCACTCTCCTGGTGAATCTTTGTCTGTACAGTATGAGTGCGTATCCATCTGTGTGATCCCTTCAGTCACGAAAACTGAACATTGTGGAAAGTCCTTAAAATTCTCCCAAGTAGATTTTTTTTTCTTCCTTCCTGTAGGTGAATGTGAAAGCAGGTTAGAGGGTGTTTGGGAGTTTCTGCCATTTGACTCTCACACTGCCAGCAGCCAGTGTCACTTTTCAACCAGATGGCTGCCTACAGCATAAAAATCAGGGTTGCCAATTGAAATTAAAAACGTTTTGCAGTTTATGCATAGTGAAAATTGCTTCTGACCTTGTGAACTTGCATATTGAGCAAAATGGCTGTAGCTGCCTCTTCCCATATTGCCTTTTTTTCCAGGTGTCACTGTTTACTTGGTATCAAGTAGCTTCTGTGGCATGATTTGCTTAATTATTGTGCATCACTTCTGTCCTTTGCCACCACATAAATTAAAAAGATGGTTAAAATGTTAACAGGTAGAGCATCCTGTAGCAGCAGTGACATTAGGCTAGGTATTGCTGGTTTTGCCACAGATACTTTGCAGTCTGCTGTGTCTTAGACATCTGAGACACAACATACTGAATTGCTGCCTGGATTTCAGTTTGCTGCTATGAAGAAAACAGGTCAGATCACGTGGAAAATTACTTGTGTCACTGTAAAGGGAGGCCAAGGTAGATTGTGTGTGTTTCGGATAAATGGTCTGTAATCTTATATTTCATTTCGGAATAGTCCTGAATTCCATTGTAGCTTTAATCTGCAGTTAATGAATTTCCGAGGTTACGTGTTTCTGTTGTGTGGGTTTTTATTCAGAACTCTTGAACAGCAGCAGCTGTTGAGTCGTTAGTTAGAAAATAAACCGGGAAAACCAATGTATAACACTGTCATGTGCCCTACATTGAGCAGCATGATCAGATAACAAAAATGAGCAGCGCAGTAAAGCCTTTAAGATATCCCCACCACTTCCTGCTAATGGATCGCGCTGGCTTCCTTTGCAAACAAAAATAAATCATAAAAGTAGATTCTTTCTGTTAGGTCGCAAGGACAATAGAGAATGAATTCACTTCCTTGGGTTTTCTTCTCCTTCTGGCCCGCTCCCCTCTCCTTCCTCCTCCCTCTCCCACAGCATCAGCTCTGAACAGTATCCTTGTTAAGGAAAAATACTAACCATGATGAAATTTTGAGCTTTAACTTCTTGTTTAAATGTGCATCTGATCTCTTGGACGTTATATCGACATGAGTGTACAAATGGGCTGTGGGCCCAGCGCAGCTTTGTGTCACAGCTCAGTATTCCCTAGCCATTCCCTGGCTGTCCAAGCAGCAGGCACTGGTTAACTGCTCAGTATCAGCAAACTTAAATATAAATGGTATATCAGAGTCGAGGTGCTTTCACCGCAAGAATGCTCAGACTGATAGGAGAACTTTTCATGTTTGATAAACCAGTTCAGAAGCCGGAAAAAATCAGAGAATCAAATCATTGCATTTCATGGCCAGGTTCTTTTTTCCAGTTCATTGGTTAGGGTGAGTTTTTAAATCAGAGCTGGTAGTACACTTGTGTAGTAGGGAGAGGGAAAAAAAAAAACCAAACAAACCACAATCATGTCAGGCTTGAAGTTATAATTGCGTAGTAGTTAGCAAAGACTATTCTTGTTTGTAGATATTACTGCTAATACTTTAGAATCTTAATTTAACTTCTCTCCTTCTTTTTGTTTTTTTTTCCCTCTTTCCCCTTAAAGGAGCAATATCGCTTCTGCTATGATGTTGCGCTGGAGTACTTGGAATCCTCTTAGTCAGAATGGATGTGACAAAGTTCACCAAATACATGAATCTCAATAAGCTGTTTTGACAACAGTTCTTGATCCTGTGAAGAAAGATTTTAGGGGAAGAGGGGGGTGGGAGGGATTTTAAATTTTAAATGCAAAGTATTTTTCTTATGAAGTTGTGTATCTTAATAAAAGAACTCAATCTGTTTCTATGCTTGTATACAGTATCAACATTTAGTGCCACATAAATACTATTTAATGAAACCCAGAGTCAGAAGAGATTTGCGCAAATTAGGACTTTTCAGTGTTTGTATATGCAGCCGTCTCTCAATTACAGTAGAGCGACCATCTGTTGCATGTATCAATATTTCCTATATGGTATTAATTTTTCTTTTTTTTTTTTGATACATGGTTAAAGTATAATAACAGTGCAGATTGATAGTAAGGTTCATTCTTTATACGTTTCAAGTGTTGCATATATATATTATATATAGTAAAAAAAACCTGGCTTATTTTGTTTTAATGTGCAATGATGGCTGGATCACATAAAGATCTTTATAAAGAAACTTAAACATAAGCCAAAGACTCAAGTGTAAATATGTCTATATGGAGAAAGCACATGTATTTATTGTTTACTTGCATTCCTTTTTTGATGGCTGAAAAAAGAAGAATCATTTTTCTTGAAGAAAGCTTTTTTTGCTGAAATCAAGTGTAAACAATTTTTGTAGTTTATTTTTTGTATGTTTTAGTGTAAGTAGAAGACATACTTTTTATGCATAGACCAAGAAACATTGGTATAGTGGTTTTGTTGTGTACATGCTTGTGATTCAAATCCATGTAAACAACTCGGTTATAGAAGGTCTTTAACTACAGGACCAAAATCAAAACATTTTCCTGAAAATGTATAGTTTTTCACAGTTGCATTAATTAAGTACTGATCAAAAAACTATGTAAGGAAGGGCACACATCAAAATGACCTTGCCTATGACTTGCACAATATTGGAAGGAATTTTCAAGCACCATTAAAATTGTAAGGGAACCAATTATTTAAAAAACTATTGAAGCACAGGTCAACAGGAGAACTGCCAGACAAATAGATGGCTCTGCATATGCCCTTGAGGGTAAGAAAAGTATTTCTTTAGCATATTGTAAAATTAAGCAATGTTTATTTTGATGTTTACGAACATGTAACCTTTGCTTCCAAGAAAGCAAAATTTGAATAAACCAATGCCAGATTCTGATTATAGTTGTGGTGTACAAAATATTACTGTGCTTTTGCTTAGCTTGTATCCATTTGTTCACAAGGTTTCCTATATTTTACCAGCTAAAATCATTCCAGTTGGTCTTTTTTAGAACTGACAGTAAAAGGATAAGGTGCTTTTAAATATTCTGTAAAGAGTGAATTAAAATTTTATTTAAAGATTATTTTATATTATTTCCTATTTTCATACCCTCTCACTTACTGGCCTTGTTAACGAGTCATTCTTGTCTGGAAGACCGATTATATATGGATAAGGAAAACTATATTATTTTTCACTTCAGTGTTTCAGGGAGTATTTCAGAAAACTCCATGTCATGTGTGTGCTCTAAGTTTCTTTCTTTACTTCAGACCCATGAAATTATCCGTCCAACACTCTAAATGACAGAGAAATGTTTAGAGAACTTCTACTCAAGATTTTTTTTCAGTGCCCCCATGTGTATTGCATAGCTCCACCTCTTCCAGATCTAAAAAAAAGTCTTTTGTCACCCATTGTTAGTTCCTACCTAGGAATAGCAAGGTAAACAAATCAGGTTGGAAAACATTTGCTGGGTCGGGGTTCTTAATACTGAAAACTGCTCTTTTTTTCTTTTGCTACATTGGAAAGGGAATTATAAGCTGCATGCAATAGAATTGCAACATTGCCAGCTTTCTCTGTGGGGCCATGGCATTCAGCTAACTTTGGCACTCAAAGTGCTGGATGTATCATCTAAAGCTAGCTGTCTGGTCACCACATTTTGCGGATACAATACAGCATCTCCACGGGCTGATTAATCCTGCCTGTTAGATGTGTGTCTGGGATTAAATTAATTGGACTCTGGAAGAGCCTTGTTCTGTTGTCCATAAAGGGTGTTGAGAAAATCAGGTTTGTCTAGAAGTCTAGATTAATTTTTTTGACAGATGAGATGAGTAGCTCTTAGGGTTGTGGAATGCAAAAGCCAAGTTCTGTACTGACCAGAGTGATTTTTGTTTTTTTCTTTCCTGACCAAAAATACAGCATTGCCATTAGGTTGAAGGAATAGTTATTTTCAGGGAGAGCTGCTGTGTTGGGGGCAGTGGGGTCCATCCCCACTAGTACTTCATAATCCTTGGTAGGATCTTTCTGCCCAGTTTTCCCTGTACATTAAGCATGACTAGTGCAAATGCCAGTATAAATCCTGGCATCGCACCACACTGTGCCTGCACAGGAGTCCTCCGTGGGAGCGTCCCCCTCACCTGGAAGGTATTATAGCTGCCAGTGGTTATTCCGCAAATGGGAACTCTGCCTGTGTTGTTCAAGTACTCTGACAGTCATGTAATTTCCGTAACTGTAGCTGACTGTGGTGACCTAATGAGCTTTGGCAATAGCTCATGATTGAAAAACTTGTGGGAAGTTCTTCCTTGCAAGGCTGGGGAAAGTATGCAGAGGGAATATGGTGTGTGAGAAGCAACTCAGAAATATCATTCTCCAGTAATGGTATATCTTGGGGGTCTCTTAGACAAAAGACAATATTAGAATCAGCTTTTTACTGTAAAATCAGGAAGAGACAGTTTGCTTTCACTGTGGCAGCTCTGTTCCCTGGATAGATGCTGCTCCAGTATCCTTTTCTTACACCTGTGCAAGACAGAAGAAAGAGAAGTGGGGGGACTGTGAAAACCTGCCCCAGGGGGAGAACAGGTATTGCTCATAAAGGGAGTGTGCAGTGGAGGGAGAGAAACGTTCCTGACCTTGGGCACTTGAAGAGGGAAATATTTTACTCCCTGAGGTAGTGAAAAACCACCAGCACCAGTATCGCAATGCATCAGCAGCTCCTGCCCTGGAGAAGTCCATACGTTTCAAGACTGCTTCTCAAAATCTTTCTGCTGGCTACTGCCCTTGCTGAAACATTACCACAGACTCGGTGAAGTGGCTACAGCCTGCAAGGTACACAGGCTCTGCTTCCCCTAGCTGCATGAAATGAAGGCAGGACCAACACAAGCAGCAAATACGGAGAGAGCAAATGCGCATCAAGTCAGAGTACAAAGAAGAGGCACGAAAGACTTCATCTGTGGAGGAGCGTGAGATGATTCAAATCTGAAATGAATGAAGTTGAAACTGATTTAATGTCACATAACAAAGGAACCAAAGGAGCGTACAAGTTCCCAAAAGCATGATTGCTCTGTGCAAGAAGGTATTTTTTGCTCTAAAGCTGAGAAGTGATGACTCCAGTGTCCTCGTCTCTGTAGTTGCTAGTGGAAGGAGTTCTGAGTGTCACTTTGGTGGCTTTGGTTCATTTTCTATAGAGCAGTAACCAAAGAGGTAACTTAGGGAGGTGTTCAAACTATCTGAATTTTCCCTAAATAACCAGATCGTAGGATCCAACACTGAAGGACTATATCAGGCCTTGAGCACCTTAAATCCTTGGAAGTGTCTAAAGCAGTGTCATGGAGATCAAAGTTTACTAAAACAAGAGGTACTAAACCTTGGCACCCTATATGGAGAGAGGCTTACCTCTCTCTTTTTTTTTTAAAGCCCTCTCAATCTGCCTTCCCTGTTCATAGTGACCTTCACACCAGCAAGCGGGTGTGAAGAGACCCATTTTTTGAACTTTTACCCCGGTCCTGAGAGATCAGACCCCAGCTGGTTGATAAGATCCTAGAATTTACATTTCCTGCTTCCTGGGTAAATGCTGTGCCATCAGGAAACAACAGCTTTGAAATAGGTTTTGCCTTCCTGGAAAATGGTTGCAGGCATAAGTTTGAAGCTGGAAGCTTAGTATCTTCAGTATATGCAAGTAGTTACTGGGATTTATTTCATTCAGGAAGTCACTCAGATAATAGAATTATGTAGTTTATGGTGTGTCCTTGCCTCCACCCAAGGTACTACGTTAAGAAACACAATATTCTTTAGAGAAACGTGAAAGCAAATGCTGCTGCAGGAGTGTGCTATTTCAAATGGGTTAAGAATTTCCAAAATCGTCTAAAAAAGCAAACTGAGGAAGCAATGGCAGGCAAGTGCTACGTCATTGAGCCTCCAACGTGAATTGAAATGTTAAAGGACAAGGAAGGGGCAGCCTGAGAAAAAATGTTGCAGAATCATTGCGTGGCCAGGCCACCTGGACTGACAAATGACTGTATAAAGGGCCTCTTTTAAGCTTCGTTCTGCTGCTGTGTCAGAAGAAACCCTGAGATCTGGAAATAAATGTAAAGGCTGCTTTTATAGTGCCCTGCTCTGTACTGAAAAGAAAAGTAACTCGTTTTCTGCTGTACTTTCCTGTGTCACGTAGAGGTCTGAATTGAGTTAAGTGATCCTAATCTTACAAAAGAACCTTTGTGGTGGTTTATTGCTAGTACTCTTCCTTTGTTAAACAGTCAAAGGTCTTGTAACCTCCACCGATCCAGGATAGTCAAGAGTATCTGTGAATATTCACTTACGTCTTTACATTCTGATGTTGAATAATCTGCTAGTAACAGATTGTGTATACTGAGGATAAGACTTTCAGAATATGCAGAGGTTTAGTCCTATACATTTCCCTTCGACTTTATGCAGCAAAACCTTGTCTTTGTTATTTTTTTAACTAGAGCCTCTGTCTGAACAAAATTTGAGATGCTGACAATATAGAAGAAATGTTTCTAAATTATTTTAAGCTTGCTGGGTGCTTTTTCTGTAAGCTTGAGTAAAAGAATGATGTGAGATGGTGGTGGTGGTTGACAGGCATAAATGTTATTTTGGCCCACGCTTCTCAGAAATTAATTCTTTCCCTGCTGTTGGGTTTCGACTCCTAATTTATATAGAGATTGACATGTATGATGACAGGCACAACAGGATGCTTACCTAATAATAATGTTTATTAACTGTGTCTTGGCCAACAAAGAACAGATGTTTTTGTGCCTTGTTGAGATACAAAAGCTTGATTTCAATAGTCTTTTGTAACCCTTCTAGCTTCCATCTGGATCAGAAAATAGTCCTGACTTCACAAATTATATCAAGATAAATTTGAAATCCCCATATGCTCAGAGATTTTTCACATCCTCACTAAGCAGAAAAAATGAAGACTATGTTAAAAAAA